TATTAGCCACACCACCGCTTTTGACTGGACGAACTTTCTGCGTGAAGTTTGCGCCTGGTGGTTTTAGATTAACCATACCGAAAATTTTGTGGATCCAACGACTGGAGCTCACACACAAACCATCAAATCTCTTTGGCACGTCCACGAGATGCAGAATAAACGCCAATGCGGCACACACTGATCTTCAGTGGACAGCTACTTGTGTGAGTTCGTTTGGAGGCAATGGTGCCAAAAAACGGGCCTTTTCATGCAAATTATTAATGACGTCCCGATTTCACTCTCTCCATTAAAAATAAAAGTACAAATTTCATATCCTCTTTTTTCTAATCTTTTCGGGTGGCGGGGGTTAATTTTTTGGCGGGGCTTATCTGGAAATGATCCGTTTCTCGACCTTTAAGCAAAGATTGTCTTCAAGTGCAGGACGAAAGCTCCATTGGAATTCCTAAATCTCTTCACAAGACCAATGGTCCTCGCTACTATTCAACCTCACGCAGGCCAGAAGCTCGAAAGAGGATCGGCAGGGAAACCTGTAGATGGGGCGTTAGGCAACTCAAATATTAGTACGATTGCGGAAGGACCAACAGCATATGTGGCGGTAGGAACCACGAGTGCGGTCCTAAAACACGTCAGTTCAGGCACAGTATGAAAGCAAACAACCGTCCGGGTTGAACTGTGATACAAGTAGACCTTCTTAGCTGGCTTTCCAAGTAAGTGATAGCGAAATATGCGCAGACAGTACCATGACAAAAAGATGGCTACTCGGATACTGCGCCTACCTTATGAGCCCCAAGAAGTACGGTACCGGTCGTGGGTTGTCGATTAGTTTTCAGCAACCTTGTAAGTAGTGTGTTGGCTACCGTACTTTACGGTTGATGTGACTGACAACCTATACGTAACCCAGAGGAATAATTCAGAAGTTGAGTGAACCTTATAACTTGGAAGCCGTCATTTTCCTGCCGACGACCAACGTAATCTCTACGTGCGTATTCTTCGACACTCTCGTGGTGATGTCCGTCTATCCAAATTATCAAGAGCCATTGGTATTTATAGGCATGACTAATGAGGCTAGGTGTGTCGGACCAGATAAATAACTGCCTTCAGAAGTGACCGTGTAGTTTACTGTCTCATTTTCCCTATCAAGAGTTTGTTCGGTACTTCCAAGTAATTTTGCAACTGTCTTCTAAACTGATTCAAGAGGCCTTCAAAACTAACCGGCCCATGTTCAATTTGCTCACTCTATTATCATGATAGGTTTGTCCGAGACAGAAAGAAAATATGGAATATGGCCAAACCAGAGGTGCTATCTTTTGCGGTTGGAAGACTAAATACTCATATTGACAGTATCTGTGCGGGAAGCTAACGCTGCCAAGAAATATGCCACTGTAAGGTGCCCGGAAAATGATTTGTTTCGTGTTCGAGCCAAGCTTTATTAAGTAATGTGGGTAGGAGCTCAAAAAATGCACATAATCAGCTTAAGCTACTCACATGCTTTCAGAAAGCTTAGCTTTTAGGGGGCCTTACTAAGTCCATCCTAGGCAAATTCGGCGGACAGAAATATCCGCTATACTTTCCCCGGAGTTCAAGTGTTGAGCGATATCACGGCGAAAATGCAATGATATGAACAGAAGCGATGGTTGAGTCATATTTGCGTTTCTATGCCGCCCGAAATTTGAAAATGGAAATTGTTTGGCATGAGTAGGTCTAAGGTTCTCATTGAAGCAGCCACCGAAGCCAGACCACCGGATGCACATTGGAATCAGCAGGATCATCATCATCATCATCGACAGCATGAAATCAGTGTTCAACACCCGATGCTTCACTGCCGTACAACCATGATTCATTTGATAGCCTTATTGTGAATAAAAGAATGAAGGTGGACAGGGAAGGAACTTAGCGCTGCCTACACCTCCAAACACATTCAATCTGGATAGAAACTGACAACAAGAACGCCATTGACATCGGTTGGCAGCCATATCTTACAATGTCTCCAACCAGGCGCAGTGAGGATCACGCGGTCCCTATCCTGGAAAGCCAGTAGGACCGACAGCATCCAAACGTTTCGTGATTTCATGCATACCCCTCTGTCACATCTCTGGTTCCGCCAATCTGAATTCGTCATGGAAAGCAGTACTCTCTTCGGCAAACGATAATTCGGCACACGAACGATGTTCCGAACAATGGTTCCCGTAGGAAATGTAATTCATCTTCAAGTGTACGTTCATGGGGAACGGCTTCCTGCATTCTTTGGCTAATATTGTGCATACTATCCCCTGGCAACACCATACGGTTATAGGTCGGTTATACGGCCTTTAAAGCCAGTTAGTGAACTGCTATGCGACAGTGTAGCTCTCAGCAAATCATCGTAAAGTTTCGTTGTTACAATTATTCACATTACTATTTTTTATCATGTTAAATGTCGGCGTAAAACGAAAAAGCATTATTCCTATTTATTTCCAGAAACCCATTCTAACATTTTTTTTGTTTATCTGCATCAATGAATCAGTAAATGGCCGTAGTCGCCAACCCAATTCCGGGATTGTCGCGAGCCCGCCGTGGCTGCTTTCTCCGCTTATCTGCAAGTACAGTGTGAATTTTTGTTAGAAGGAAGGACAGTTCATAGCTGCTGATGTACACAGGACGATTTTAGCCTTCTCAAGTGGTTTCCATATATCTAATCGGTCATTTAACCGGAAACTCAAGCGTGCGAGAGTTAGTCTTGGAACAACCATCCAATTCGATGTGCGATATATGTGCAACACGCGATGGATTCACCGGTAAATGGTATGAAAGTGCTTCTAGATAACTAATGTTTTAAGCAGGTGGACGACAAAGGGAGGCGAGAAGTGGTGGTAAGGATACTTCCCAGCCGAGTTTGGCGGACGTTTTCCTAGACTGGATGATTTCGATTAATGTCCCTTTCACTACCGTGAATCATCTGCTCGTATCACGGCAGCATAAGCTTCCGAAACCATCTGGGCTTTGCCGACTTTCTTGCTGCCACAGCCTGATACGGTCCATTTATATATGAATGTAGATGAAATGAGGCTGTGCGACAACGGTACCGCCGTAATCTGATCGATATCGGCACGTGCTTTGCGGCCTATAGCGAGCCCTGTGTCCCTTGTAGGTTTTTACGGAGGAGTTTGTACACCCGGGGACGTTTTTACGTACCTACATGAAGTAGTGCCGGTAGATGAGAAGCTTCTGTGCCTGGGGGTTGTCATTAACGGTCTGCATCACTTCAGAAACTGTATGGGTTGTAGGAGATGGTATACAATGTCGATTGTTTGCAACACTTGCCGGACGACATCTTCCAGCACTTGTAAACTGCTATCCTTCTTGCTCAATGTCATCTCTTTTCTTCCTGTTAATGTTGGTCACATTATTGTACAACGCTTGTTTTAGTGTAATAACAAAGGGACTTCGTGCATTTTGTTGAGTGACTGTCGTTGTGACTGACGGTTAAATAACATTGGTTAGCACTGATTCGCAAAGCGAACACAAATTTTAGCCGCAAACACCGGACTTATCCATTCACGTCATTGGATTAAAATAGCGATTAGTGGAGGTTTGGAATACCAGGAAAGTAGAACCTTCTCTTCTCGATGTGGTGGTTCAACGGAACACGGACCGGCGGAAATCCCTCTTGTGACTGAGTCAAGATCTCCCTGGATTGTTCTCCTTATGACACTAAATGATACCTACATAAATATTTCTTTCTGTTCATTAGAGACTTTAGGGCTGTTACACTCTCGTCTCACGGCCCTGTGGATAACCTGTGTGATCAATGCAGCCTTCCCTTATGAGTCGTATTATGTTCACTTTGAAGTGGATGGTACAGAGCTGGAAAGAAGTTGATGGGGAAACCTCACCAGCTGGAACTGGTAATTCAGTGTTATTGCTCGCGTTTATTTGCTGCAGACGAAGTATTCTGGATCCTTCAGTGCAAGCACCATAGGGACCTGGCAAGTCTCTATCTCAGACAGGCGTTGGCTAACGAATCAACCGACAACGCGGCCCACTTTGGGTCACTGGACAAATAGCACTTCCATTACTCTAGATTGTGTACCATGATAGAAGTCAACCGATCAGAGTTACGTTACCAACTATCGTTTCAGAAACAGACCTCGCTCACCCAATGTTCAAAAACTGTACAAGACAGGAATTGGGGACGGTTCGGTAGCGCGCGGCACAGACGGGCTCAGAAGATGCAAGCGAATCAGCTGGCAGTGAGATTTGTGTTTACACGTGGACAAGTTAATCGGTAGCAGCATATTTGAGGCATCGCACGCTTACCCTGATGTCTTGTTTCAGACGTCTGCATTAAACCAAGCGGTCGGGGGGTCACAGTGGACCTGTTTTCATCGAACTGAAGCCGGTTGGCTGTAAAAAAAATCACCTTCGAACTTTTTTCTAACACAATTTATGCCTCAAACCGGACCACAGAAGAACCTTGCTGCTCTGAATGAGCACGGGGTTGTTCCCTACAGTACCCCTTTGATTCGAAAATGTTCTGCTGAGATACGCACTGTCGCGAGGAGTCAAACCACTGGCAGTTGTATTCACGTGAGCTAAGCTGATTCGACCCGGTACTGTGGAACCCTATCGAACGAAAGCCTTACGAACACACCAAGCAAGCAGTCATGAATGAGACAAGAAGCTCACGACACTAGACAACCAACCGAATGGGGCTCATAGTGAACGTGGCAACCGTTCACACATAAACACTGCTGATGATAGGCCATAAACAAGGCGGACAGTGTTCATTAGTGTCTGCACCGTGTGACGGCAAAGAAGCACCAAGTTCGTCACTGTCAACCGTTCCATCAGCCACAAACCGAAGTACACATGATACGCAAAAACTCGACAAACTGTTATGAGCGGTGAGCAAACGAAGCCTGATCAGGCCGTAGAGTTAACGCACGGACGCCGTGCTACGGTGGCACAGCGTTGCAAAAAAACAGTGCGAAGGAAAAACGGAAAGAGTCTGAACAACTTACGCTAACCAGCACACCGTGATTCCTGACCGCACGGAGTAGCGATTGGGATACCAGACCACTCACGTAATCTGCGTTGAGAGAGGCTGGGACTTTTAGCTCTTCGACCATATAGTCCTCGGGAATCAGCGGCTCCGGAAGGTGGTAAATTCCTGCCCGTGCCCTGATGAAAGAAAGTCCGTATCGACACATGATGGTGTAATTCATTCCTCTACATTTTTCACTGTGGCTAGATAGGGAAAGTCCAACTGATAAATCCACGTCTTGCCCATACATTGCGGGCAAAAAAAGGAGAGCCACAGCGAGCGCCAAGCCAACACGCATGGTGAGAAATGGTACGTCAGCTTTCAGATCGCAGCCCGAGGCCGAGCCAAAAGTGCGATACGTCAACCAACCAATCGGCAACACAGACCCTAAGGCGGCTTGGAGATGTCCTTGTCCCCACGAGACAGCTCATTGGCCAAAATGCACGCCCACTCATTGATCGTACCAGGATGGTGCACCACAGCAGGTTCGCTCATGTTTGCCTGTCGTGTCCACCTCGTGACCGCACCGAACACGCTCATAAGCTCAGGCACCAGTGTACCCCGATGAAGCGCCGGCGAGTGACAAGTAAAGAGAAGCTCCGTCATAAGCTGCGGCCTAAGCTACTCGCAGGGAGCGGGAAAACCACCTAAGTCCAGATGGGTTTTCGATAGCCTCAACAAGCATTTCGGGCTTCGTGACAGGACATCACAACTAGTGCCGGTCACGCCATTTTCCCTGCGCGCATCTTGGTCTCCGCGTCACGCACGCGCACCATCCACCAAAGACTGCACATCACTTGCAGTTCAGGTTCACGTTCGTACCGAGATTCGAGCCAACAGCTAACCATGAAGTGTATTCCGCTGGCCCACCGAAGACTTGTCGAAGTCTTGTCGGTCCAGACAACGTTCGTTTGAAGTTTGGAGTGGACCAAAGGGGATACATCAGATTCATTAATCAAATGTTCCAATTCTGCCTAGCGTACGCTTTCTGGAAATGTTCCCTCATCGCACTTTTCCATATTGGGTGAAATGCTCCTGAGGACGCTTTTGTCCTCGATATTCCCTGTTCCCTCTTAATTTAGAACAGAACACGCGCTACTTAAAGCACTCAGTGCACAATTTCGATACACTTCCTTGGCACAGCGAGATAGCAGAGCTCACAATATTTTGGCACTTCATCCACGTTCTTCAGCCGTAGATGCAACATTTCTAAGGCTGGCGTATAGAAAAAAATAGCTCACTCAGACCTGGCGACAACTGCCACGAAGTTAAAGGAGAATCCCTGCCGATTCTAACGCACTTTTCCCCCGGCGTTATAAGAGCAGAGTTTGATCATGAATGCTTGTTTCAACGGGAAATCTTCTTGCGACACCACGGCACAGTTGATCCGATCCGGTCATCCCGCTCGACGACATCATGGTCTGCTGCATTTGAGCAGTGGGCTGTATGAGACCGAGCTGCGGTGACAGTAGATTTTTGGCTGATTGATTGGATGGCCCCCAAACTAATTTACTTGTGTGCTATTATCCCCTAATTTAAGCCGTAAGATCGCACCCGTCAATAATCCTGTGCCTGGCATCTTCCTATAAGCGTAAGTAAAGATATCTAGCATCTTTTTCTTCAAGGAAACTACTCACATGATGGCTGAAAACTCTTCGACAGTTGGCGACCAGTTTCACTCTTCCTCGGACTTATTAGATAGGCACAGTCCCCGAGTTTCTGTCAAATCTTTATTCCGAATGAAGCCAAAATGTGCGAAATTAGCGAAGTATACTTAGTTGCACGGTAGACCCAACTGGATCCCAGCTGAATCTCGTTTATGCTATCATTCAGTTGATTATGCTGAACACGACCGCCTCATGTTCGAGAGATATCATGAACGAGAGATCCAGCTGGAATATAGTTGGGCCTCTCGTCAAAACCAGAATGATGTGTACAAATGAGTGTATTTCGCTAAAATCTCCCACGTGCCTCACGTCAATCAATGCGCCACTGCCTATTCAGCTAGAGATTGAAACAGGTGACGTACTACATTAATTTTTTCAGGTTCAGTTGGTCAGGAGCACCACTATGTGCCTAATAGTACAAACAGGATATTGTAACCAGATGGCGGTCACTGCAATAGGACATCAGGTTATTCTAGGGAGGATCACTGATATATCCACCACTTGTCAGTGTAACTAGGCTTACGTGCCACGGGCAGTGAGCGCACCTGCCTGTAGGCTGCCACCTGCAGTAAAATCCCTTTCCACAGGCAACTGCTTGAATTTGAGGCAGTGAATAGTGAGATTTCTTATACCTGCTATCGTACCTTGGAGCCGGGAGCTGTCTCCTTACAGGAGACTCCCATAAGACGCTGATAAGATGAAGTTTCAACCGAAGTTTCAGAGTCTATCCGCACTGCCAACAATTTTCCACACATTGTAGTCGAACTTAATCGGATAATGAAAAGATCATCCTTCAATTTGGTCTTTTCGACTACTGAATTATCGGATCAGTCGAGCTGTATTCATCCAAAAGACAGTGCATACTTGATAGCTAGTCGAAGCCCATACCACTGCATGGTTATTCAGGAATTGCTTGCAATAACCCCTAGTACGGGGGAACTTATTAACAGGATATCCGCCCGATGTTCACCGGGGTGGCCTTGAGTCAAACTTGGAAATAGCACAACAATGTAGAGGGTTTCGACTTCCCCTCAGTCACCCAAATTTTTCTCGACAGAAAACAATTCATGGCGTTAAGTCCTGAAGGGGTAGGCCTAAATAAGGAATGTCTACCGGTTTTCAGGTTTAGTTTTAATAAACTATGTTTGATACTATTACAGATAGTGGTCAGTAAAACGTGATCTGCTCAACTTTGGCATTCAAGGCCTGCTTCTTAAGTGATCATCAGGCAACTGTCTCTGAAAACTGGTATACTCTTATTGGTATTTCAGTTCTGAAACTGTTTAAATTTGTTGGTTCTCCTTGTTTCGATACTATAACTCAGTTGGACCGATCTTTTCGTGTCGATTCTTGTAAGCTATGAATGTTTGATGGTTTCTACGTGATGTTCTTGGGAGTACCCAAAGCCGTAACGTTTTTGCACCGTATGACTATAGAAGCATCATCATCGCTCAGCTGTAGCGCTTTACTTTTCCCCTAAATTTTATTTCTAAAAATCACCAAGCATCTCAGGTGTGAAACAGGCGAACATATGCACAACGGTTGTAGATCATCCGAGCTGACTCGTGGTGGCGTCTGAAGGAGAGTCATTAACGGAAAAGCTTAGATCCGAAGTATTGGCCCAACCCGACCAAAAGTCTACGTAACCAACTGGTTGTAGCATATAACAACCCGTACGAGTCAAAAAATTTCACCCAAGAAAAAATCATCAATTTAAACAACCGAACCAGAGATCAAGGGCTTAAATCAAACCAAAGAGGTGATTTTTACTTTCTGAATGCACTCCTTGGTTTATAAAATATGGTTTTACTGACTCATAGATGATCCTTGACTGAAGGATGCATCTTCGGGAACAGCTTCGTTCAGAATCTCTGCCGAGTCATCAACATCACCGTCAGACGCCTAGTAGGTTTCACTTCATCTAACCAATTTTCGACCCTTCATCATCTGAACTGCTCTTTCGATCACATTGTGCGACAGACTTCTCCTTTTCATCTCCAAATGCTATGCTAAGGAGTACCTGCGATGTGCAAAAAGCCCATGGTCACGACTTAAGTGAATGAATCCAAAGTGCACTTATACTAAATGCTATTGAACTGAACAGGACCTCCGTTGACGCGCGGAAACTCATTTTTTTACCGAGAAAACAGTCGAAATTCCTCCTGAAAATCAGAAAAATCCGTAAGAGCAGAGAGACCATGAAAATCGATTTCCCTGTGACAGCCAATGGTGATTTAAGGTTGATGGGACTAGCAAATCGCTCTGTACTGGGCTTACTAGTTTGGAGGATAGGCGAGAAGAATCTTGTGGGAAATATTTTTACTTCTATAGTTTTATCAGTACTATCCCAGTCAGTCAACAGCCATCCAACACACCCGTGGACAATCAGTACAATCAAGCTCTCTATTAGGATATTAGCACAAGAGGCATCAGTTCTGAAATGTGGATACTTAAGATTTATTTCTAGTCGCCCACCAGTCTTTCTGACAATTTTTTGTTGCGCTTTGAAGCGATATTGACAGGGAATACACTTAAAATATACCTGAAAATTCATAGCTTCGAAGCTACACGAACAATATCTAGATAGTTTCACACATTAGAAGCGAAAGACTGACACCGAAGAGCCATCTGTTTTTATTTGTTTACAGCGTGACCGAAGTGGAATTCTTGCTTTGATCTGCTAGTTGTTTACTGCGGTAACACTCGAAGTTGTCACATTTTTTCACGTGACATCGTGATGGGAACACTCGCAATACATGCCCCAAGGCGACTACCATGTTGTTTGTTAATATTGTGTTGTGAATGTTCAAAACTTTGCAACAGTTCATCACCAATTTAGGCTTTCAGGACTAATCAGACAGCTAGCCATTTTATCTTATCCGAATCGTTGATTTCATGTCGCTGAGTTGCAATTGCAGCTATACTTGGTCCAAGTTGAACACGCTGCATGTGTGGCGCTAGAAAAATCTCGTTTTCATTTTCTGCCAAGATCGAATTTTCACAGTACGTACATAGAATAACTATGAATGAAAAGGTTCGCGACTTTTATCTTTTTCAACTGAGGTTTCGTCCTGTCAGTGAAGCCAATCTGTACTGAAAAGCCGAGAAGCTCTTTCACACTTATTGGGAAGCATCAGCGGTACGCATCCCACGAAACTGCAGTAGGGAGTCTATAACTCACAACCCCCTGGCTGAGAGTTTGAACAGTCAGCCATTCGGTGTCGAGCGGGTGAGCAGCAGTGTGACCAGCTCGCACTTAGACATGATAAGGCGCCACCCATTCTTCAGTCAGGGGTTACAAATCGCGCTGTCACAACTGTAGAGTGGCTCCTCATGTGACGGCTTCTCAGATGGGAGTTACACATATCTTGGAAAATTATTCGTCCTCTGAGCTACTTAGAGATAGCAGTTTGCTTGGATTTCTCAACATCTGCTCGATTCTGCCAATAGCAGTGTTTTAAATGAACATCATAAGCGAGAGATTCAGCTGGGTTGCAAGTGATCATCTTGTCAAAACAAAATTGGTATGCAGTTCAGTGCATCAGTCGAACAGCCTTGCTACTTCCAGAGCATCCGCTTAAGGATTATTAGTATAAATCGAGTTGACACCAAAACGAACGAGAACTTCGTCTAGCTCTAACTTAAACCCAGCTACTTTTTTTTAGCAAAGTCATACGAATTTTGGATGTGTATGGATGACTTGCTAGATACCTGCCGAAGTATGGCTGGCTCATATGGTAGTGTAATTATTAGTCTTATGGGGGCACCTTCCCAGTTGTTTCTAGATCGCAAATGAATTGCACGTTTTGGGTAAGACCGATACCACTTGCCCTGCCCCACACGGTTCATATCCTATCCTTAATACCTTCCAACTTCAACCTCACTCTTTTTCATTGATGACATAATCGTCCCGTTGCTAATTTGTCGGTAAGGCTAAAC